GTGGTCTTCCAGAACCACAAAATCGATGTCAGTGGCGATGTTGCCGTAGCCATGGGCACCTACTACTTCACCAGCGCTGCGGATAGAAGCAAGACCAAAGTGGAGTACACTTTCGGCTACAAGAGGAACGCCGACGGCAAGCTGCGCATTTGCCTCCACCACTCCTCAGTGCCTTTCGCTGATGGAAAGCCCAAGGTGCAGCCTGCGGTGATGGACCACGTTCTTGGGACTCTTGCCGGTGCATAGCTTGAAACTCTGAGCTTATTTTGGTGGACTTTTAACTCCCGCTCTTGAAGACGGCTGGTTGAAGCGCCGGCTTGGTCTGTTCTGGGATCTGCATGTTTTTTCTGTTTTTTTCTCGGCCGTCCGGCCATATCTGCATTTTTGTCAAATGACTTTGCCGTGAAGGCATTAAAAGGACTTGCCCATGGGCGAGGACGAGGGAAGTTTATGGTTGGGGGACAAGGCCCTTCAATCAAGCAGCCAGCACAAGCTTGCGTTGCGCCTTCAGACACATATCATTATTGGATTTGCAGAAATGAAATGGAGAAAAGTGGAGTGGGAATTTCAGTGGCAGACACATGCAGATGCCCATGATATTCCATTGCGGACCACAGTTGATAGGTCGCAGTCGCCTGCTTGATTTTAAGACGTGCCATTGACCGTTCTGGGCCCCTAAACCCTAAACCCTACGATGTTCGAAGCACCCTGCCTTCAAAGGCCGCCACCGGTCGACTTGGTGGACCGGCCGGCGGCCCAGCCTGGGAGCTACATGGAAGGCCTGCCGCATAGCCTCGGTTGCTGCAGAGTCCTCCTAGACTTGGGCAACATGCCATCGAGCCTCAGGCTTTGTGTAGCCTCGTGTGGTGGGCTGTAGCAAAGCCTGGTCCACTGCACTCCTCTGCCGGGCTTCCTTCATGTACAACCTCCTGTCATGCTCACGGACCAAAACAGGCACAGAAACCCTCAACCCTAAACCCTGAACCATTCAAACCTGCCCTTTGGAGAGAATTAGGTCCGGCGTCTCCCACAGCTCGGCGCTAAGGAGTTGCCCAGCCGAGGAGCCGAAGAGCCTTCGGTTGCCTTAGGGTCGATCTTCGGGCTTGGGGTTCAGGGCCGATGCTCTACTTGGAGGTTCATGGGTAGTCATAGGTGGGGTTATAAGTCCCCCCAATATATGGGTTATAACTATAGTTACCCTATTGTTATAAGCTTACTTATAACTACCCATGAACCTCCAAGTAGGGTTTGGGGCTTGGGGTCCGGGGTTTAGGATTTGTCAATAGTGGTCAGGGCCACCGCTTGAGCTGCCAAGGTTGCTCTAGGGTTCGCTTGGTATATTTTGTTGTGTGTGTGTGTGTGTGCGTGTGTGTTCCAAAGTAAGGTTCGTCCTGTCAGGAGCAAGCACTCTTCATTCCGGATGATGGCAATCACTTTTGAGTTGAGCTAGATACGAAGTGGGTTTATGTTTGGGTGTTGGTGAATGTGTTCCAGGCTCCGCAGAGACGTTGGTAAGAGTATGTTTGCGTAAACCCTAAGTTGCCCGGACCCTAAACCTTAAATCCTAAAGCCCACCCTAAACCCTAAACCCTAAGCCCAAAACCCTATCCGAATCCCGGTCCTAAACGGAGCCTGATCGCTGGCAGGCCTCCGCAGGCTGGGTGGCTGTTGGTTGCGGCCGGCGCGGGGGGCCCGGAAGAACGTCGGTCCACTTCGAACGCCTAAGCTCTGAGCCTTCAAAGACGTGCCTAAACCCCAAATCCTCGAAGCTCTATACTAGGTTTGGTTCTGAGCGTTAACTTTAAAAGCCTGAGCCTCAAAACCCCACGCGAAGTGTACACAGCCCATCACAGCCCTTCACTCCAAGGCTAGATGCTCGAGATCGCTGGAGGCAGCCTGGTGCATGCTCCCGAAAGTCCGAACCCAAAGGCTTCGGATTTGGGGTTTCGGGGAAAATTCCCACAAACTTTGGAAGTAGGAGTCCCATGAGCCCTCAAGCCTTCAATCCTGACCCACATATCTTACGACTTACGACCCAAAAAAACCCCAAACAGCCCCCAAACGTCTAAACCCAACACCCCAAAGCTGGCAGGAGCTTGTGTTCCATCCCCTCACACCGTGGAGCACGAGAACACAGTGTGCGCTTCGAGGCTGTAACCAAAAGGGATCGGATCCGATTCTAGTCCCTATATGATTGTAACTATAGAGCTATAGGGTTTAGGGTTTAGGGTTTAGGGTTAAGGGTTCCTTCGGGTGTGGAGGCTTTTCGGATTTGCGCTCGCTGTCAGTCCTTTTTCTCCATATTCCATTTATCTCTGTCCATTGTAGCTCCGCAGTCTGAATCGGCAAACTCGCCACAGCTCGGTTTTCGGTGTGACATTGAATATTGCATGCAAAACCCTCTTGAAAACCTTGGACCCTACACCCGAGACGAGAAGACGGACGAAGTGCGCCAAGCCGTTCCCGATCCATGATAAGTGGGCCATCTGATGAATGAGCGGAAATCTGTTCATTTTGGCCTCAGGCTTTCGTGAATAAGAGAAGTTTCGCGGTGGGCACAGGCCAGCGCGATGGACGAGTATCCGGAGCTACTGGCAAAAACAGACCGCTGCCGAGCAGGCTGGAATCGTTCGTGCGTAAATCGCAGAACTCTTGTGTGTTCCATGTGTTACTTGTCTCGAAATAGAAAGGATCACGCACATTTACGAGTGTGTACTTGTCTGGTGTGTATGTGTGTATGTGTGTGCGCATGCAATGTGGCTGTTGACTATGCACATACGTATGTGTGGGCACAGTACGGCAAGGCGGTAGGATTCAAAGAGCTGTGGAGGCACAAGGCTTTTAACTACCTGGGACTAATATTCGGATGCCATGCAGCAGCACACGGAGCGTGGGTTTTTTCTGGTTGGTAGCTATCAGTTCTCAGTGGTCAGTGCAATAGTTGTAAACTATCCGTACCAATCGGGGGTATGGGCCGAATAATGTTCGATTCTGACTTTGGTAGGTCTACTTTGACATATTCCTCCAGCTGTTTTGCTGCATCGAACCAAATCCTCTGTAGCCCGGCTGAGACTTTAAAACTCACCCTGCCCTGTGTCCAAGCCCAGGAGGATCGCGTAGATTTCAAAGCTCGTGCAGGTACCAAGCGGCAAGCTTATCCTGCGGCGTGTCCCAGTTGCAAGAACTAGGCAAACAAGGTGGTTTGACGTGATGAGGTGCTTCCGCACTGTGTTCCCAAGGCCACTGTTCGCGAGTGTAGGACAGCATGACGCACCGAAACGTGGTCTCTGGAAGGAAATCCATGTGGCTGCCCGCGAAATCCTCTGGGTGCTTCACCTGAGAACTCGCTCCACGGCGTGAGGTGGGCACTCATGTGCAGGGCATCCCGCCTCGGGGATCTCACGCTGAAGTTCTTCACCGTTTGACCCCGTGCCCTCCGCCCTCGCACCGCAGACTGAAGGTGTCGGCGTCTCGGCCACGTTTCGTGAAACTTGGGCGAAGAGGAGGGGCGCTTCGCATCGTAGGAAGCCGTTAGCCTCTTCTCATGCTCTGCAACGGGCAGAAACCTGACAGGAGGAAGGCGCATGCAAGCGCCTGATCACGAGTACAAAGTCCTAAACCCTAAACCCTAAACCCAAACCCAAAGCCGCGCTTGCCCTGTTAATGCCTGCAGCCCGCGAGGAGCCTCGAGGCCAGGGCGGCGCTCCGAGGAGGGCAAGGCCTGGCGTTGAGGTGCTTTGTCCTTGCGTTGGCTGTTCGAGGGCCCCTCCGCCCCGCCTTTAGGTAGGTAGGTGGGTGGGTGGGTGGGTGGGTACGTAGGTAGGTAGGTAGGTAGGTAGGTAGGTAGGTAGGTAGGTATGCATGCGTGTAATCATGTATGTACACGGAGGCACGATCGCATGCCAGAGTGCGTGTACAGGATACGGTGCTATACTTTACCAAACGATCGTAGGAAGAGATTCAGCTGTTCGCAGTAAGTGATGCACGCGAAGCGGAATGCAGCCATCTCGCGTGTCAGTATCGAGGTGCAGAGCAGCTTTGCCACTCGCTGGCCATGCGGCAGGCAGCCACCCCGGGCCACCTGTACTGTAAGAGCTGTGTTCAGGACCGGATGGCATTAGAGAATGGTCAAGGAATGCCACGTGTATGGTACCATATCGAATTGTACGAGGGCATCGTGTTGCCAATTGGCCTCTGTTTGTTTCAGAAGCCACAAAGGTTCAAGTTTCAGCGACATCGCACCTGAAAGGTTAGAGCAATGCAGAAGTATTACGTCAAGCAGGCGGATGGGACGATTACGTGCCACTTCGGCACTGTGCCCGGAGCTGGCGCACCTCCCGCGGCTGTGCCCGTAGCCTTGGCAGCCGTGCCGCGCGCCTCCGTTGCCGCAGCACCTACGGCACCAGTCATGCAACACTCGTCAGTCGCAAAGATATCGGAACAGGATGTGAAGAAAGCACAGGCAGCGTGGGCCAGCGCCATCAAGAGTATCTCCAAGAC